ACCTAGGTTTTCCTCGGGGGTCATCCCCAAGTCTCCTAGGCCGGTTTCCCGTGCTCATTGACCCGATCCACGAATAGATCAGAATAAGAGGAGCCTAATCCGTACTTCCTCGCGAACTCACTTTTTATTTTTATTATTATTATTTTTTTTTCTTAGGGAGAGGCACACAAGGATACATCACGATTACAATACATAATCATCAAAACTCAATCACGACGTACACAAAGTGTATAGATAACACGTTACAACGATAATCGAACATAAGGTAAGATGCCTCAAGACAACCAATCGAGAACAAACAAAGGACAAAACAATTCTGTTAATCCACATGCGAGTTCCAATATCAACGAATCATCAATCAATTAAAGGAAATCGTCCAATTCATCAAGTACATCAAGCATGAACGGTAATAGTGAAACCAATCAATAATCTCGACTCACCACTTGGTTATCTCGACTCTCGAAAAACATCAAGTTTCATGCGGGAGAGATGACACAAACACACAAAAACTCAAATAAAACCGGTCCACGACACGACAAAAACGAAAAATAAGGCACAAAAACGAAGAGAATATCACCTAAACATGCATAATCACGAAATCCCTCCCCCACACTTAAAACAAAGCAATGTCCTCATTGCTTGACCAAAAAGCATAGGAGAAGACACATAATCACGTAAGTTCATGCGATAAAAATGAAAACGAGAGACAAAAATCAAAGAAACGAGACAAGAGAACACAAAGACACATAAAAAGCAAAGAAAAAAATAGAAAATAGGATAAGAAAATGCGTACTCGACACGGTGGTCGTCACCACCGTGTGTCCAATAACGGTCGTCCGGAGGGAATAGAGGAGGTCAACCGAAGGCCATCGAGCGTGAAATGGAGCCATCCGAATGGTGTAACATTGAAGCACTTGAAACGAGAGAGGCCATGTGTGTGTCTTGGAGAGATAGTAACCATGCATGCATAAACTCGACGTAAACACACGTTCACGTGAAAGCGCAAAAATCGGGCCTCGAAGTCCTTGTCGATCCCCCGCCATGGTCCGACACAACGAACTCCTTATGTATGCAACGCATAAAAGATTACCGGTGCTTGCCGTAACTGGGTACCTACAAACTCAAAATCCCGGTAAAAACACACGTATATGTGGCACGCCCGGCAAGACGTGCCTAAATCACACAAGTCTAACCCAAATATCTCAACACGACTACTCCGGCAAGAGTAATGATCCAAGCACAACGCATA